ACCAATTTATTAGGAGGAGTAATAAATAAATAAATAAAGGAGGAGCTGAGGTAATGTATGCACAATCGATATGAAAACAGCAAAGACATATTCCAGTGGGATGCATCATCACCAGCTTTGTCTAAATATCAAACATTTTCCACTTCAGATGTGTTAACGTTGTACAGCAGGGAGCCAGACTTACCCCAGATTTTTAATAAGAAAACACTTCTAATGAGGCTTTGGGCAGGACTTAAGTAAATAAAAATAAGGTCCTCAGAAACACTTATTTTAATACGTAATTTTAAGTGATGATCTGTGGGGAATGGAAATTGACCGTAAGATCCCAGGTGTGTTAATGATACAGAAACCTGAATTTATTAGCAGTAACGTTTGTTTTTATTTTAAGTTATCTTTGTTTCGTGACTTCGTACAATTGTCAAATATCCAGAAGCACTGGGTAAAACAACCTTTTTAAAAATGTACTTTTTCGGGCGCCTGGGTGGCTCAGTTGGTTAAGCGACTGCCTTCGGCTCAGGTCATGATCCTGGAGTCCCTGGATCGAGTCCCGCATCGGGCTCCCTGCTCGGCGGGGAGCCTGCTTCTCCCTCTGACCCTCCCCCCTCTCATGTGCTCTCTGTCTCTCTCATTCTCTCTGTCTCAGATAAATAAATACAATCTTTAAAAAAAAAAAACGTACTTTTTCTTTTTAAGTTCTCCCTCTAGAAACTGGAAAAGGGGGGAAAAAGCTTTTTATATTTGACTCCCTCCTATTACTGTCAGTAGCAGTTAAGTGCATTTATGGAGACACAAGGCAGCACAAAGATTCCTCTGTGATTCATCAGAAGGCCCATCTTAAGTATAATTACATTACACAGCTCCACTCAGTCATTAGTTTCTTGTTTAGCGACAATGTCCTTCATTTTAAATCCTTTGATGGTAATTATTTGTAACTATGCCCTTGAATTTTGAAAGCATGTGTACTGTGGCCCCGCTCAACAATGGGTATTTCTAAACTAGGACGCAATTGGCTTCCCCTAAGGGACCATACGGGAAATGGTCTGGAACAACACTGAAAATTTGCAAAAGGTTTCGGAGCTTGAGCTACAATCCAGAATGAAGGTGTGTGGTTATCTGTGTGGGTGTGCAGTAAAAACCTAAAAGCAACTTGTTAGGTATAAGGCATGATTTTCTTAACCCTTAATGGATGATGGCCCATTTTCAAGTCTTTGGCATTGCCTAAATGAAGGCACATTAAAATGCATCATAGACTGGCCCCAAAGTAAGGTACATGTGAGATATTTCTAGTTCTCCTAGTCTTCTTTGTGCAGAAAAATATCTTGTGTTCGTGTATTTATTCATTTATCGAGCACCAGGTGTGCTGGGCACTGTTTAGGTGCAGAGGACATAGACCCTAAGGGAGTCGGTGCCCCACACAAGAGCTCACAGGTCAGTGGCAGGAAGGACAAACAAACAAACCCAAAGAACCTGATTATCCTCAGGCCTGGAAGAAATAGTGGATCATGTTAACATTTCAGCTTCTTCCCAACACCTGCTGATTTGGCACCTCCTCACAGCTTGGAGTTTCCGGGATGTCCTACCGTGTTTTTACTGCTCCCTTTGGAACTTCTACCCCTCTATCCCTCTACTTCCCAGTACAACTGGCAACCACATGGACGATGCTCTGAATATAAAGTCCAGCGCCCAGTCTGGGTCTCCCTAAGAGAGGGCATCCTGTCTAGATGCCTCATTTGGCCCTAGACACCCAGCAAACTGTGGTGTCGGGTCTGTGGGTTACAGCAGCTCTGCACCATGTCAGACCATTCTGCCGTTCTTGTCTTTTATTCCCTGCTTCCCTTTCCCTGCTTTTGTTCTCTTGGGCTCTTTTGAAAGCCACATTTATGTTCTTCACATATGGCAAGTATTTTTGGTCAAAACTAAAACCTATACAATGTGTTCCTTGGCAGAAGGATTCGTTAAGCAACGCTGGCTTCAACTTGAAAGAAAAGCTTTCAGTAGGCAGCAAAACAAAACAAAAATCCCACAAACCACTCTGGCCACATTGTAATTCTTATTCATAAAAGCAAAATATACTTATCCTTCACATGTGTGCATTCAATAAAGCCCCCTTTCCCAGTGCAAGAAGGTGAGTGTTGGAGTCATTAAAATTTTTGTTCTCAAGCTACACATGGTTCTAGAAATCCACATAGACACTTACATTTTCCTAACACACTGGCTTTGGAGTAGGGACCAGAATTATTTTCTTAGGAATTAACCCTCCTGCCAGATGGCCCAAAGAGCACACTGTAGAAGCGGTATTTGTGGAGCCTATTACCTGCAAGGCACCATTCTAGGAACCTGACTAGGTTCCTCACTGATTCCTTACCACTAACCCTACAAGGTAGGTAGCAGGATTATCCCATCGATGGACGGGGAGACTGGGGCCTAGAGGTTAAGAATCTTGCCCAAGATCTTTCAGCCCTTCTACCAGGCTGCTCTTCACTTTTGAGATGCCAGAGGCTTCCTAGTGTTCCCATAATCTTTGCCTATCTGTGTATGTTTTCCTTTTTCTATAGAGCCGGGGGAACCCAAGGTCAGGTCCGGGCGGGACAGCAGTTGGCCCTGGAGCATAGGGAACCCACAGCATGCACACGAGCTAAAGAGCAGGTGCTGGGGCAGAATTCCTCTCCAGCTGCCACAAGGGGGTGACCCCCGAAGCTCTGCATCAGGGCGAATCTGAAGTTGAATACTATCTCTACCACTGGGGGACTCTGGACAGAGCCTCACCTTCTCAGCTGGGACGTGAGGTTAGTGCTGCCTGCCTCTCAGCGCTGTAGTAAGAGAACACAGAGGAAAACAGGTAGCGATTCTTCATTCCCCTGACCTCTGTGCTCCTGCCGCGCACGCAGCTACTGCGTTCACTCCTGCTTTGCCAGAGCAGGCCCAGGCCTGTCCCGTGTCGGAGTCAGTGCCCATCAGCTTTAGCAGTTGAAGCCTGTCTGGCCGTGGTCCTGACCTCGTGCCTGAGTCCTGCTGTTCCCGACTTTTCCTCTGAGGTGCTGAGTCTGACTCCCCAGTCCTTCTCCATCTCCAGCCCGAGTGCTGGCTGAGGTCTAGCTGAGTGAGCTCACCCACACCCACCTTCAACCTGGGCGGTGTCCAAGATGTCGATATCCTTTGGCTACCATAGAATACTATTGTAGAGCTGGCCTTTGCAACTGGGTGGGGTCATCCTATTCAGTAATTTTTATGGTAAGTGTTCTGAGCATCGTCTAGGTACCAGGCCCTGCAAAAGATAGGCGTGGCCCAGGCAGCTGAGCTGAGTGCCTTACGTATATCATCTCTGTGAATCCTCACTATCATCCTGTAAAGTAGGAACTATTAATATCTTCATTTTAAAAATGAGGGAGCTGAGTCTTAGGAAGATTGAGGGTCTTTCTCAAGTCACACAGCTAGGAAGAGGGAAAGCCAGGCCCTGAGTCCTGAGCCTGGGCTCACAGCCCTTACACCATGCTGCCATCCCTTCTACCTGTCAACCCTCTGCTACTTCCTCCTTTTCTGGGTGTTGGATCTTCTTCAGGGCAGCAGCAGGGACCCTCTTTTATGGGAGGGTCTCTTACAATGTCCTCTGATGGATTTCACTTGTCTCTCTCTCTCTCTCATTAAATGGGGACCTCTGGGCCCTGCTTTTATTTAACCCCTGGGCTCCAGTGCTTTGCACAATACCTGGCACAGAATAAGTACTTCAAGATGTTTGTTGACTGACTCACCATGACCTTTTCCCCCTACTTGCTGAAGTTTGTATGTCCTCTCTCCAAACTCATCTGACTTCCCACAGCTCTAGAATCAACATTAGTGGTTACTCTTGGGTCTGAGATGGCATGTGAGTACGTGTATACATGTGTGTATGTCTGTGTGTGTTCATGCATGTGTTATGGTATCAATGAAGGAACTATCCTTTGTTGTTGTTTTTTTTTCCAATACTTGTCTACATCAAAAGCTTTTAGCCATTGTGTTTCTTTAGTTTCCTTTAATCTGGAAGCTTTCCATAGCCTTTCTTTGACTTTATGACATAGATATTTTTGAAGAATATAGTCCATTAAAAAATAGAATGCTGCCCATTGTTGGTTTGTCTGACTTTTTTTTTTTTTTTATGATTAGATTCAGGCTATGCATTCCCAGCCAGGCTGATGCTGTGACCTCAGGCTCTCACATCTGTGGGCCCATGATGCCCATCTACCCATCTGCAATTAACTTTGATCACCCAGTCAAGATGCTGTCCCATTTCATCCCTGTATAATGTCATTTCTCCTCTTGTAACTAATAAACTATCCGTGAGGAGACATTTTAAGACCATACATACATCCTGTGACTTGTCAAAATTCCCTCCTGGATCCGTTCACAATTCCTACCTGTACCTATTTTTAATATGATGATTGCAAGATGAGGATTCTGTCATTAAATGCAATATCTGGTTCTAGACTGGATCCTGTACAGGAAGGGAAAAACTGTCCTGAAGGACTTGGGAGTTATTGGCAAAATTGGAATACGAATAGAAAATTTAAGTGCTCTATAAAAGTTAAGTCTCTCAAACAACTCAAAAATTCGTGTGTGTGTATATACAATATATGTATACGTATATGTGTGTGGAAAGAATGTACAAACGATAGAGCAAACGGGGTGAATAGTAAAAGGTAGTTGCGTGGGTGTTTCTGGTTATCATCCCTATTCTTGCCACTTATCTGTCAGTTTGAAATTATTTCCAAATAGTAAGTTAATAATAAGCTTTCGGCCACCTATAAAATAAACATTAGATTTCCTACCTTCAGCCATGCAAGTCTTTCATTTAATGGCTGCCACTGACTCGGTCAACAAGTGTGAGCTTCCCCTGGACTGACTGAGCCCCAAGGTCTAGTGGTAAAGGAGACCCTCTGACCCTGTGTGAAACTTCTGTCTTTCTGGTGGTGTCTGCAGAACCTGCCAACTACATAATGGTAGTATTTTGAAATGGAAGAGTCTAGTTCTGGTTGCACATGTCTCGGTTGTCTTTATTAAAAGACGACTGAAGTGATACTTAAAGGATCTCGGATATCCGATGAGAGGACAGAGGCCCCTGATGCAGTGACGCAGGACCCTCTGGCACTGGCACCTGCAAGCTCTCTTCAGTCTCCTTTCATGATTGCTGCATATTCCTTCTGGTGTTCAACCAGCTTCAGGAATACTTGATATTTCTTGTCATAGTATCTGTGGGAGAAAAATGAATATGTTGAATGATCTCAGATAAAATCGTTATGCAGCTTCCCCTTATATTTAGAAGAACAGGAATGTATCTCTTATGGTTGGCCAGACATCTCCCATTTTCTGAATGCTTATAGCATCCTGAGCAATGGATCGGCATGATTCATAGCTATTATCTGTAACCTACATGGGGTGTTATTATCCTCATTGTAGAAGTAAAGACATTCGCTCAGAGAGGCATATCTAAAGTAGTCTAGCTCAACACCAGCAAGGCTGGAATGCAAACTGAGGTCTGTCTGACTTCACAGCTTCTGCTGTGACATACTAAAAGGGCCCAGGCTCAACACGGGCCCTTTATCACTCCCAGCTTCAATAAATATGTCAGATATGACTAGCCCCAGGTCTGATGACTGGTTTAAAAACCACAGCCTGACCAGGGATGAGACTGAACATTTTCATCACCCTTTGTAGATTCCACACCTATGTTTCCTTTGCAGACACCTTTATCTGGAAGTAAAACCCCGTGAAAATGTCCCTAATGTTTTCCCTGTAGATGTGTCCTGCAGTCCAGCATCCCAGAGTGGACCTTGCTCTCCCTCTACTCTCTGTCTGGGTCCTGGTAGACTTGTTATCCCTGCACCTGTTCGAATGTAGTTGGGCCCTGAGACAGAGGGCAGAGCAGCCTGAATTTGAAAGGGATAACAGCAGCTAGAACAAATTATATGTGAATGCTTGCAACTTTGTCCTTACTCCCCTTGGGTGGGAGGAGCTGACGTGGGGCGAGGGGTTGATGATGCCAGTTTAGCATGTCTCAGTAGATTCTGGAATGTTCTGGAAAGGAGTCCTCAGGAAGGAGTTTTGGTGCAAGCTTGTGAATCAGAAGAAAGAGATTGCAAAAGCAACCCTGGGTATACATAGGGACTTCTTGTAACATGCAGAGCTAAACAGATTGATGAGTTCTACCTTAACCATTCTTACAAATACAGAGTCAAGCGGTGAACTCTGAAGCCTGGGTTTGAATCTCAGCTTGGCCAATACTAGCTATGTGACACTGGGTATGTTACTCAATCCATCTGTGTCTAAACTTCCTCACCTATAATTGAGAATTAGAGGACCTACCTCAATAGAGCTGTTACGTGAATTAAATGAGGTAATGCATGGAAAGTGCTTTGAACAGTGCCTGGATCTTAGTGAATGTTATCAGTGCCAGTTATGGTCGCTACTTTTTAAAAAAAAATAATATTCCAACAATATCATCAATCTTGCGATAAGTAGTTTCCAGTAAAAGCTGCTCTACGGGCTTGAAATTTATTAATCATAGAATGATTTTGGAGGCAGAAATTTTCTCCTTCTAATGATACTCTATGACAGCTTAACATTAAATACTTCTTACATTATATGAGATGGATTTCCTGACTCTGGAATCTCAAAACTGCTTGAAGGAAGCTTGGGTCAATAACTTTCTCATACACTTGAAGATTTCCCATTTTAATCCTGACAATTTTGCAGCAATCTTTGTTCGCTGGTCTTATTCTTTGTACAGTGAAGAAGCACTGGCTTTGCAGGCCAAGAAGTCTGGGTGACTTTGGGCAACTACTTTAGATGATGGGAGTCTCAGTTTCCCTGCTGTAAGAGGGATGATAACCATACTTACAGCATAGAGTGACTGAATTTTAGACACGAAATCCTTTGTGAGCTGTCATGTGCTCACAAATAGGGACTGAGGTTGTTTTTATATTCTTCCATAATCCTGGAACACCAAAAGATGGATAGACTGCATTTTTCCTTGTTTACACATGGAAAGCTGAGGTCCAAGGCACACTTCCCCCCTCTGCTTTTTTCTTCTTTCAAAAAATTTTTTATCATAAAATACACAGAACATAGGGGCGCCTGGGTGGCTCAGTCGTTAAGCGTCTCACCTTCGTTAAGGTCATGATCCCAGGGTCCTGGGATTGAGCCCCGCATCGGGCTCCCTGCTCGGCGGGAAGCCTGCTTCTCCCTCTCCCACTCCCCCTGCTTGTGTTCCCTGAAGGCAGACGCTTAAGGACTGAGCCACCCAGGCACCCCATAAATAAAATCTTTAACAAAAAAATACACAGAACATGAAATTTAGCCATTTTTAAGTGTACACTGCAGTGACATTAAGTACATCCACGCCGTTGTGCAACCATCTCCACCTTCCATCGGCAAACTCCCTTCATCTTGCAAGACTAAAACTCTGCACCCAGTAAACAGTAACTCTTCTCTTCTTCCCGCAGCCCCTGGCAACCACCGATCTACTTTCTCTCTCTATGAATTTGACTCTAGGTACCTCATAGGAGTGGAATCATATAATATTTGTCCTTTTGTGACTGGCTCTTTTCATTTCGCATCATGTCCTCAAGGTTTGTCCATGTTGTGGCATTTGTCAGAATGTTCCTCCTTTTTAAGGCAGAATGACTTCCATTGTATGGATACACCACTTTTTCTTTATCCGTTCACCCACCAATGACCACTCGGTTGCTTCCATGTTTTAGCTACCGTGAATAATGCTGCTATGATCATGTGTGTATAAATATCTCTTTGAGATCCTGATTTTGGTTCTTTTGGGTACATACCCAGAAGTGAAATTTCTGCATCATATGGTAATTCTATTTTTAACTTTTGAGGAACCACCACAGTGGTTGTATCGTTTTACATTCCTACCAACAGTGGGACAAGGGATCCAATCTCTCCACATCCTTGTTGATCCTTGTTATTTTCTGGTTTTTTATTGTAATCATCCTAATGGGTGTGAGGTAGTATTTCATTGCAGTTTTTGACTTGCATTTCCCTAATGATTAGTGATGTTGAACATCTTTTCATGGGCTTATTGGCCATTTGTACATAAGCTTTAGAAAAATATCTAGTCAAGACCTTTGCCCACTTTTGATTTGGGTTGTTTCTGTTGTTGTTATTGAGTCTTAAGAGTACTCTGTATATCCTATGTATTAATCCTTTATCAGATATACGATAAACAAATATTTTCTCTAATTCTGTAGGCTGCCTTTTTACTCTGTTGATAGTGCCTTTTGGAGCACAAATTTTTCTCCAGGGCACTTTTCAGTGACTACTCTGAGTGCACAGCTAAATTCGGTCTAGACGTAAGGATGAGATTTGGGATCTCCCTAAAAAGCATATTGAACCACGGTCCCCAGATTATGCTCTCTGTGATCCTGAATTTTAAAATCCACTGAATCCCCTCTCTTCCAAATTCTCCCCACACTCAGTGAGTGGCTTCTGTGTAGCACAGACCTCAGTAAATGTCTCATACAGATAATAATGTGATTTGAGGTAACGAGATGCTGAAGAGAGTCATTCAGAAGGAAATGCCATCTTTCTACTTGTAAACCTTGGGGCTGCCTGTAGATGGTGCCAGAGCACCACGTGTGCTGCCTCCACAGAGGAGGGCTCCTGGTGGCTGAGGAGCTAAACATTCTTTTCAAAAGAACATGTGGATTTACTGAAGGAACTTAAAAATAGACTTCTCTCAGATGTCTTGGGAGGGTCAGCAAAGAGATGGAGAAGAATAATCTGTTTCTACAAAAAAAGGAAGCTGCTAGCCTAGGGTCCCAAGGCCACTGGGAGCTCAGCCCTCTCCATGTTCCTGACTTGAGTTCCCCCCACATAATGGCCTGCCTCTCTGACCCCAGTATTTAGGGAGGGTTTTATATGCAGAGGGTTAACAATCCAACTCCACTTGGAGACCATCTTTAAGAAAAGGAAAAGAAATTGGATTGCTTTATCCATGGATATTTCCAACTCTGTTAAATACCAATCATGCTTTGGTGGGATCAACACCTTTGCCTATTATAGGAGGTGGAATTTGTTTTTATGCTTAACTTCAAATACAATTATAAAGTCACTTGCACAACTGTTCTCCATTTTTATTTTTAAATTTTTTTTATAAAGACTTTATTTCTTAAGTAATCTCTATGCCCAGTGTGGGGCTCAAACTCATGACCCTGAGATCAAAGTCAAATGTTCTTTAGACTGAGTCAGCCAGGCACCCCTATCCTTCCATTTTTAAACTCACTACCAATGGCTTAATATAGGTCTTTTTCATCTGTCACTAGGTTATTGAAAAAGCCTTCTGTGTGGCCTCTCTGCTTTTACCCGTGGGCCTTCTAATCCATCCTCTGAGAGGGATCTTTCTAAAATCCGCATCTGGCCAGGTCCTACCACTGCCTAAAGTTCAGTATCCCCAATCTGCCCATAGGATGAGGTCTGAAGTCTTCAGCGAGGCCTCAAAGTTCCTTATGAGATGACCCCTTCCACCTGCCCTCCCCCGAGTTTCACCTCCTGCCTGTCCCCAGCTCATACTCTGCATTTCAGAATTCTGAACTGTTCACAGTTATCTGAACATGGCATGCTGTACCCACCTTTACAGCTTTGTGTTTGTTACTCCTTCTACTGAGGATGTCCTCCCCATTTCTTTTAAGCATTAAAGTCAGCGCAGACTTCATCTCCTCTCAAAAGTTTTCTCTCACCCCTACATGGTCACATTCCTTTCTTCCTTGGGCTACTTTGTTACCTGGTAATACTCCTATTGTAGAACTTACCCTTTCCTTCTGAAATGATCTATGTGCACACGTAAGATTATGTCTCATTCTCCTGTAAACCCTGTTTATAGGCAAATTAGCATAATGCTGTGAATATAGCAGGAACTGAAAAAATTAGTGTTTTGTGAATTGGGGTTAAAATACTGATCAAGGTCATGTTGTAGTTCTCAGTGCCAAGTGATGCAAAGGGCAGAAAGACAGACAGATGCTACTGTGTTCTTTGATGGAAGATATATGAGATCCCCATTTCAGAACAGAAGACCAGATGTACTGCTAATGACCTAGGGGAAAGAACCCTGGTCTGGGAGTCAGAAGTCTGTATTTGACCCCCAGGTCTGGCCCTATCTAGATCTGTGACTTTAGGTAACAAAGTGACATCACCCCTCTGGGACTCGGTCGTATCAACTATTAAATGAAAGAACTGGATTCCTGGCCCCCAAGGTTTACTCTAGCTCTCCAGTTACATGTCTTTGTATGTCCTCATTCCTCAGCACGGTACATATAAAAAATATAAACTTACCTTTTATCCTCAAGTCTGGGAAGCACGACCTTCCCAACTTTGCTCATTCTTGCCATTGCCTCCTGTTGAATGGAAAACAGAACACAAAGAGCTGAGTTGGAAAGCTAAGATCAAAGTGAGGCTTGTCACAGGCAAAAACATTCTAATTAGAACTCACTTCCCTTTGGGGCAACTGGGTGGCTCAGTCATTAAGCGTCTGTCTTCGGCTCAGGTCATGATCCCAGGGTCCTGGGATCGGTCCTGGGATCAGTCCTGGGATCGAGCCCCACATCGGGCTCCCTGCTCAGCAGGAAGCTTGCTTTTCCCTCTCCCGCTCCCCCTGCTTGTGTTCCCTCTCTTGCTATGTCTCTCTCTGTCAAATAAATAAATAAAATCTTAAAAAAAAAAAAAAGAATTCACTTCCCCTGAAGATATTCAGTGAGTCCATTTTTTTTTTTTCAACTTATTCTCTTTGGTAGTAAGAATAAAACCCAATGAACATTAAAAGTTACATCTATGACCACACAGCCTGGGCTTAAGAAATGATTTGGTATTGAAGGCTCCAGGGCCTAACCAACCCCAACAGCAAAGCACCATTGTGATCATCTGCAGGGAGGGGTGGGAGGAACTTATTTTGTCTTCTCATTACCTGGACTTGAGGGCTTAAGAAGGCAACACAATCAGCCACTAAGCGCGCATTGTTTACTTAAACTCAAGATAACTATAACTGAATGGAACCCACTTTGCACCTGCTCTTTAGGATAACATTCTTAAGACCTCTTCTGTTCAATGTAAGTTCTTTTTCCTAAAACTGTGAGCACAGATGTGAGGCCTCCGGGCTGAGTCTAATTTAGTTGAATTGTGGACTTCAGGACATTCTTGTCTTTACAATAGGGCAATCAGGCAGACAGCGAATGGCAGTGTCTGCGTGGCCATGGCCGATGTGTGCAGCATCCAGATCAACCACAGCTTGCGTGGGCTCCGTTATAGGAATGAGAGGGCTAGGTTTCCTTGGGCAGTCTCCCCAAGCTGGTAAAACAATGGAAAAGTTAGGGGGAATGGAGTGAATCCAAACTCTGGAGTCTGACAGACTTGACTAGGGAGAGGGCAGGCAATGGCCTGCTCCTCAGACAGGCCTGCCTTAGGAATGGTTATTGAGCTCTTATTGTTAAGGATGTAGTCATCCTGGGGTCACATATGTACAACCTCTTATTCCACATGTTTGTTAATTACTCACTATGTACCAGACATTATGTTAGATTTGCATAAGGCATACTTTGTCTTGGAGAAACTTACATAGTAGCTGGGAAATACATAATTTATATATTATTTATATAAATTTATTTATATTTACATACATGTATATATTCCATATATTATTTACCACTGATTCCCTTCTGGTATGCCACGTATTTACTGGTGCATGCGTTCCTTATCTTCCCTCTCACTCCTTGCCCTCCCCAGAATGCAAGCTACTTGAGGCCAGGAGCTTTGTCTACTTACTGCTTACTCAGCACCTAGGATATTCATAAAATAAACCAAGCCCCTTGTATGTGTCAAGAGCAGCATTCAACAAAAAACAGAGATGAAGATTGCATGGGTCCTTTCATCACGGGGCTCACCATAGAGTGGAAGAGACATTAACTGTGATCAAAAGAGAGGGTGATAAACACTTTGCTAGAAACAGATAAGTATCTTTTCAGTAGTTATTCAAGGGTTAGGAAACTTGATACTGTTTCATCTGCTAATCACTTACACATACTTCCACTCTGGCTAGGACGTTCTACCAACTCTTCCCCAAGGATGGCATGAACATTCTGAACGAGTTCTCTGGTTTCCCAGCTCTCAACAGATTTAAAAGTGCTGACTAGGAATCAGAGATGCTGAGGTTAGCAAGCACAGTGACAAGAGAAAGAAACGGCAGTCTTAAGAAAGGAGGAGATTTTCTAAATTATGAAAAATTACTGGAAAGGAAACCACGTTAAAAGAACTAAAAAAGGACAATCTGGGGCCATTTTGTGGAGGGATGAACAGCCAAACACATCTTGAGGTTGCTGCTATTGCACTGCACAAGGATATTTGAAGGGCTCTGCTCACCCTGTGTTTTCCTTCACAGACTAAGTTTTGATTCCCTTCAAGTGAGCCCCACGTCTTGTGGAGGTGGCCTCAGCGATCCCCAGCGTGCACTCTGCCTGCCACTCATTCTCTTGTCCCATCCTTGCTGCTTCTTTCAGAGTAGCACTCTGCAGGGTTTCCAGAGGGGTTCTGCCTCTTCTCGCTCCTTGGACTCCTGAAAATGCCCTCGGGAAATACTCCTCTGGGTTGAGCTTACGCCTCAGCCCTGAGACAACATCCCAGGACTGCTTTCGTGGGTGGGACCCAGGAAACTTGTGTTGTAGAAGGTGCTCCACAAATGTCCCTTCCCTTCCCACTGAAACAGATGTGTGGACATACGGCAGATGGTAGGGCTTTCTTCCTTTCTTCACGTTACCTCTCCTGTTTTTTTTTTTTTTTTTAATAAATTACCGGGAAACAAACACCGGCACTGGAGATTTCAAGGGTTTGAAAAGCGGTTCTTTTGTTCCCTAAAAAAATACAGATTTAAACATTAAACTTAGCTCAGGTATTGACTCTACTGAGGAGGCTTTTTCTGACTCATCCCTGCTGCCTGCCTCCCACCTAGACTGAATTATTTGCTCCCACAGCAACTTGAGCTACCATCTATCCTAGCATTTATGACATGGCACCACAATTTTCTGTTAGCACACCAGCCTCCCCAACTAGACTGTGAGCTCCTTAAGACAGGAACTGTTATAATTATTTCCACTGCCAAACTCAGCATCTGGTATATCATGTGCACTCAGGGAATGTCTACGGGATGAATGAACTTAAGGGTCAGACACGTAACAGAATGCTAAAATGGAAGTTTTGGCTGAGATCTAAAGTTGACAGATATAAGATACCAAAGTGAGCTGGAAATAGACCACCCTGAAGAATTTGTAAAAAGGGTGGTTGAGGACCCTTTTTACAAATACAACTCTTAAACCTTTTATCCACATGGAAGGACAGAAAAAGAAGTTTTTTTTTTTTTTAGGAGCGGACTATTGGTTTATTGTGCATCAGGCCTACTTCCAGGGGAGGGGTGAGAGGAGTCTTCACAAGTCAAGAGAGCAGGGCTTCACTGAGAACAACAGGGAACCTGATATGTGTCCCTGAGGTTGTGGGATACAGTGGACTGAGTGGGATGCCCATGTGGAAGAGAAGGGCTGGCTGGCAGCTTCAGTGTAGAAGTGAAGGAGCCCACACCGGGGTCAGCCAGCACTGCCAGAGTCTGTCAGACTCCAAAACGCATGGCTGGTTCCCATGGACCCTAGGTGGCCCACATATGAGAGAGCTGCCATAGATTGTCTCAGATACCATCCAGTATGGCCACCTCATGAGGTAGAGGGAGTCTGCATAAAGAAGCTTGAGATGACCTACTCGTTGTCTTGGGAATGAAGAGTAAACAATCTACTAGAGTAGCATTAACAAGGACATGATATGATACGTGGGAGGCTTCCAAAAGTAGAGGATTAAAAAAAAAAAATCTATGATGGAGCCTAGCTACAAACACCTGGTAGGCGAAAGGAACTGTTCAGATAAGAACTTTCTAAACCCCTGACCTCCCTTCCCCATACACCCTCCAACTACCTCAGAGGAACAAGAAAAAACTGAATCTGCTGGAGAGGGAGTAAGTGGGGAGGAGAGAACACTGATCACAGCTTCGTCCTCGCACCTGCAGCAGACCCCAGCTGGGGAGTGGGGAGAGGTCTCATCTTTAGATGAAAACTCATGTGATGATTATTATATATTCCTTGATAATCTAATTTCTGAATTTGGGCCATGTCTCACAACTTAAGGACACCATAAAACTTGTGTTACCTAAGACAGACTTTGTACTTAATCTAAGAAAGCAATGGAACTACCAGAATTTTTAACCAGGGCAGAGAAAAACTTGTTCTACTGCACAACTGCTCAGGGGACGGTGGGAGTAACAAACACAGTCGTTTCTCATTGCTATCTCAAGAATCGTGTTTGTCCTCAACAAAAGTTACATACGCACAATAAACACTGGATGAAAATATACTGGAACATTAACAGGTTCAAGAGCGTGGGTGGCAATTTTTTTTTTCTCTCTTTTTTGTCCTTTCTAAATTTTCTGCAGTGGCATATGTGGATTTGATAATTTAAGGATAATTTAAAAAAATACTGCCTTCTAAAAAAAAAAAAAAGTTATGCTTATATAGGCACTCAAAACGACTCCTGTTCCTCCGGTCTCCTGGGAGGCAGAGCTCATTACGGGTACTGGGCCCAGTGTGGAGGATGCCCGGAGAATCACTGTTGTCATCAGACACAGCCCTGCCGGCTTTTCTGATTTCTCCAAATCACTAACACAAAGCCAAAACCTCAGGAACCCACTGGCTGCAATAAATCTGGAAATTACCACAGCATAACAATATGAATTTATTATGGGAATGCTGACACGTGCTAAATATAGTCACCCCCCACAATATATTTCTGTTCAAAAGGGTTTGTTTGAAGTTGGCCTCAAAATTCATACTTTTTGTCAGCAGGCAGGGGCCGGACAATCTTAATTTGCAGCACGCTACCCTCTTTGTGTGAGAGTCTAGACAGCACAATGAATACAGTGACTTTTCTCTTTCCTTTTTGCCCACACAATGAAAGCTTTTTACAAACAAAATATTTTGTAAAATCGCATTTTAATCACTTCTTTTCTTTCTCTCTATAAGGCAGCGCTATAAATAAACCATGAAAGTTCACATTTGATTGTCACTTCTGAAAGCAAGGGAAGGGTTTCTGTAGGAAAAAATAGGGGCCCTGTACCATGGTCATGAAAGACTGCATTCATGGGGTCTGACCCTCCCCTGCCGGGTCAAGGCTGAGATACCAGTCTGCACACACTGCTCACCACTCCACAGGCTGCAGCACCAGCAATCGCCAGGCCTGCGTGGGCATGGGAAACACCCAGTTCTCATGGGTTATGGCCTGGCTTGGGAGCTAGCAAAGGGTTTTAAGGCTACAC